AAGACTTGTTCTCCTGAAAGCCAGCAGACTTACGGGTAATTGTATAGTTATCTCATGCTTTGTCACAAATTACCCCAAAACTTAGTGGCTTCAAACAACAAATATTTACCGTTTCTGTCTGATTTTGGGGGGCAAGATCGTGAGCGGGTTGGCGCTGCGTGGCTCTGACTCACGGTCTCTCGTGAGGTTGAAGAGCTGTCAGCCCAGGCTGCCGTCCCCCAAAGGCCTCAGTTCCTCACGCAGGGACCCTTCCGTGTAGCTGCCTGAGTGTCCTCAAACGTGGCAGGCGTCTCCCCTGAACTGACTGATCCCAGGGAGAGCAGAGCAAGGAGGAAGCCACCTACAGCAGACTCCATGTTCTTCTCAAGCGCACGTGGACCGTTCCCCAGGACAGATCATATCTAGGCCATAAAATAAGACTCCAGAAATTTAAAAGGATTGAAATCTTACAAAGCATGTTCTCTGGAATGAAATTAGAACTCAGTAACAGAAAGAAATGTGGGAAACTCACAAATATTTGGAAATTTAACAACACACTCCTGAAATGAAAGAAAATGGAGACAACAAAACAAAACGTGGGACGCAATGAAAGCATTGCTTGGAGGGAAAGTGAGGGCTGTTTGCTTATATTAAAAGAGAAGAAAGGTCTCAAATCAATAAGATACTAGAAAAAGAACAAACTAAGCCTAAGGCCAGCAGAAGGAAGAAAATAAAGATTAGAACAGAAATTAATGAAATAGAGAATAGGAAAGTAGTAGAGAAAATAAAACCTGAAGCTGATTTTTTGAACAAAACAACAAAAACCATCAAATCTAAATCTAGCTAGATCCAAAAAATTAGAGAGAAGACTCAATTTACTAGCATCGGGAATGAAAGATGAAACATTACTACTTACCTCACAGTCATTTAAAAAAAGATTATAAGGGAGTATTAATATCTGTATGCCAACAAACTAGATAACTTAGATGAAATGAAAATATCCCTAGAAAGACATAAGCTACTAAAACTGACTCAAGAAGAAACATTAAAAGAAAATCTGCATAGACCTACAAGTAAAGAGATCAAATTAGTAATCTTAAATTTTCCCACAAAGAAAAGCCCAGGCCCAGAAGACGCCACCATGAATTCTATGAAACATTTAAAGAGGAATTAACACCAATCCTTCACAACCACTTCCCAACTCATATCCCGATACCAAAACCAAGCAAAAGCATCAACAGAAAAAGAAAACTACAGACCAGTATCTCTTAGGAAAATCCTCAACAAAACACCAGCAAGCAGAATCTGGCACCATAAAAAAGGATTATACACCATGACCAAGTGGGATTTATCCCAGCGATGCAAGGTTGGTTTAACATCCCAAATTCAATTAATGTAACACACCATATGTATATATAGACCTAACATAGCAGGCCTGACGGGCTGCCCTTAGAACAGCCTGCTCGCAAGGGTGACCCTTAGCTGGTAGGTAATTCCCTACACGGATACCACACTGTCCCTAAATGGTATGTGTAACAGCGTTTTGCTCAATAACAGACTGGATATACAATGGTGGTCCCATAAGATCACAATGGAGCTGGAAAATTCCTATGGCCTCGTGACCATAGCCAGCTGTAGCTGTCCTGACATCGTAGTGCAAGGCATTACTCACGTGTTTGTGGTGATGCCGCTGTAAGCAAATCTGCGCTGCCAGTCTATGAAAGTAGAACACACACGATTACAGTACATAATATTTGGTAATGATAATAAATAACTATGTTACCAGTTTGTGTATGTACTAAACTATGCTTTATGTCATTGTTTTAGAGTGTACTCTTTTTACTTATTAAGAAAAAAAAAAAGGTTAACTGTAAAACAGCCTCAGGCAGGTCCTTCAGGAGGTATCCAGAAGGAGGCAGTGTTATCACAGGAGATGACAGCTCCACGTGTTACTGCCCCTGAAGACTCTCCAGTGGGACAAGATGTGGAGGTGGAGGACAGTGATGCTGGTGACCCTGACCCTGCGTAGGCCTACGCTAATGTGTGTCTCAGTCTTTAAAAGACAAATTTTAAAGAAAAAAGCTTATAGAATAAGGATATAGAGAAAAAATATTTTTGTACAGCTGTACAATGTGTTTTAAGCTGAGTGTTATTACAAGAGTCAAACCGTTAATACATCATTACATAAGATAAAAAATGGTTACATAAAATGTTACAGTAAGCTGAAGTTCATTTAATATTGAAGAATTTAAGTTTAGTGTAGCCTAAGCGCACAGTGTGTATAGCCCACAGCAGTGTACAGCAACGTCCGAGGCCTTCGCACTCCTCACCACTTGCTCGCCCAGAGCAACTTCCTGTCCTGCAAGCTCCATTCATGGTAAGTGCCCCATACAGGTGCCATTTTTTATCTTTTATACCATATTTTTACTATACCTTTTCTATGTTTAGTTGTATTTAGATACACACTTACCATTGTGTTACAGTTGCCTATAGTATTCAGAACAGTAATGTGCTGTAGAGATTTGTCGCCTAGGAACAATAGGCTATACCGGGGTGGGGAACCTGCGGCTTTGGGGCCACATGTGGACCTCCAGATCCCCATGTACAGCCCCTTAACCGATCCAAACTTCACAGAACAAATCCCTTTATTTGTTCTGTAAATCTGGATTCGGTCAAAGGCCGCACTCAAGGATCCAGAAGGCCACATGTGGCCCCAAGGCCGCTACACCATATAGCCTAGGCATGTTGTAGGCTATACCATCCCAGTCTAAGTACACTCTGTGTCATTCACACGGTGACAAAATCGCCTAATCACACATCTCTCAACATCCTCATCGAGTGACATGTGACTATAAATGGAAACCTATCCCCACGTTCATGGATTGAAAGACCTGAAATTTACATGGAAACTCAAGGAACCCAGAATCCCCAAAACAGTCTTGAAAAAGCACAAAGTTGGAGGACTCACACCTTTCAATTTAAGAACTTGGCACAAAGCTACAGTAACCAACACAGTGCCTGATTGGCCTGAGGACAGACCAGAATCAAGAGTGTGGAAGTCAAACCGCACAGGGTCAGTTGATTTTCAACATGGGCGCCAGGACCACGGGGAACGAATTGTCAAATGGCGCTGGGACGACTGGCTATCCACGTATAAAAGGATGGAGCTGGACCCCTCCTCCACACCTTATACAAAAACTAATTGGATTATAAACCTCAATGTAAGAGCTAAAGCTGTAAAAATACAAAAAGATAGGAGTGAATCTTTGTTACCTTGAATTAGACAAAGCTTTTCAGACAGGACACCAAAAGCACAAGCAACCACAGGATAAATTGGACTTTATCAAAGTTAAAAACATAACACCATCAAGAAAGTGAAGAGACGACCTGCAGAATGGGAGGAACTATTTGCAAATCCTGTCTGATGAGGGACTTGTATCTAGAACATACAAAGGGATCTTAAAGCACAACAGATAGGCCAGGCGCGGTGGCTCACGCCTGTAATCCTAGCACTCTGGGAGGCCGAGGCAGGTGGATCGCTTGAGCTCAGAAGTTCGAGACCAGCCTGAGCAAGAGCGAGACCCTGTCTCTATTTTTACAATATCTAAAAACAAAAATAATAGTAATAAAAAAAGCACAACAGACAATCTAGTTAACAAATGAGCAAAGGATCTGAATGGGCAGTTTTCCAAAGAAGATTTGATTCCTTTGATGAAGTCCAAGATATACAAATGGCCAATAAGCAGAATTAAAAGTGCTCAACATCATTAGCTTGGGGAAATGCAAATCCAGACGGCAGTGAGGTAGCACTCCACTCCCACTGGGATGGAAAAAAGACAGACGACACCCAGTGTCGGCGAGGGTGGGGAGAGACCGGAACCCTCGGGTTCTCTGGGTGGGAATGAAAAATGGCGCAGCCACCTTGGAAAACGGTCTGGCAGGTCCTCAAACAGTTAAACACAGAGCTAGCCTGTGACCCAGTAATTCCACTCCTCGGTTATACCCAAGAGAACTGAAAACATATCCACACAAAAATATATACGAATGTTTATATCAACATTATTCATAATAGCCAAAAACTGAAACCAATCCAAAATATCTAGCAGCAGATGACTGCATAAATAAAACATGGTCTATCCATTCAGTGAAATAGCGTTCGGCCATAAAAAGGAAGGAAGTGCTGATGCTTACGACGTTGGATGTACCTTGGAAACACTATCTGGAGGGAGGGCAGCCGGCACGGCTGTAGTTTACATAATGCCATCTATGGGAAATGTCTGCAAGAGGCAGACTTTACAGAGACAGAAAGTAGATTAGGGGTTGCCTGGGGCCAGGGAGGTTGGGGAGTATCAGGGTGATAGTTAAAGGGTGGGGGGTTCTTTGGGGACTGGAGACATGTTCTGAGGTGACTGCAGCGAGTGAGGGTTGCACAGCTCTAGCTGTACGAAAAATCATTGAATTGTTTACAGAGGTGAAATTTACGGAATCAATTATAGTTCGTAAAGCTGCTAACGAAAAGGAAGTCACAGTGACGTTCACAACCAGCGTCCACCTCGCTACTGCCTTCGTCTGTCCCTTAGGTGCCAGGCACCGCCCCGGCCCACTCTCCAGGGGAGGGGAGCTGGGTGCCCCCATTGGAAGCAAGGAACACAAAGTCTGTGAACAAACCCATCGTGGCCAAAGTGAGAACTTGGCATTTCTTGACAACCTTGAAAAGGCCGGGGTGGGAGTCCCTAGCGACTTCCGGGGCAGGAGATGAGACTTCTCAGAAGTGTTGGGTGTGTCTCCCCAGAACATGCTAGAGCAGAAAGCAGGGAGTTCCCAGAGCATTTGTGACAGAGCAGCCTCACGCTTTAAAGGAACTGATACGATGCGTGCGCGCGCGGAAACGTGATCTAGCCGATGGTTATCTCTAGGAAGGAGTCCAGAAATCCTGAACTTTCTCTATTACCTGTTTCCAGCATGTTTGAACCTATGTAATGAATGTGTTTTCCCCTAACCAGGAACACGGAAGATGTAAAAGCAGACAGCGAGTCCCAGTGAGGCGGATCTCCTCCCACACGGGCAGAGGATGCCCGTGCCGCCAGCCCTGAGGTTTCGCGTCCACACAGGACGCGAAAATTTCCCATCCACTTAGATCTTGCTTGAAAAAATTTATTTTCACTCTTCCAAAGCATCGATGGCCTTCACGTTTTCTTAAGTCTCCCAGCAGGAATTCTCGGACTGCGTCCTTGTGTTGGCAAAGAACAGTGCTGGGGGCTGGCGCCTGCGGTCCTGCCTGTGGTGGGACAGAGTGGTGGCCGCTGATGCCTTCCTGACCTCGGAAAGATGTGAAGAAGCATCTTGGGACAAAGATACCTCCTCCCTGTCCCGCTGCCCCAGCCACAGTCGCCTGTGCGTTTTCAGAGCACTTGACTCTCCCAGGGACCTTCCGACTGGGGGTGAGCCAGCGAAGAGGGAACAGTGTCTCGGAGCCAGGGCACGCTCGTTGAAGTTCCCGTGTCTTTCAACTGAGCTGCCCCCGTAGACCAGTGCAAGCCACGCCAGGTCCTTTCCGGACATGTGCCCGCTGGGCCTTCCTGGTCTTTGGTTGCCTGCTCCTGGCATGTGGCTGTCCCCAACAACTAACAGAGCTGGCCAAGCCAGAGGCCTCAGTATCCCCTCTGCTGGACTCCCCTCTCTGTGCTGTTTTCCAACTTAAATTAAACCCTGTGTCCACGGTTCCCACAGCAGGTGTCGTTCCCGGCGGTGGGAGCCAGCCGGATGTTGGCAAGAATCCGGCGCTGGGCAGACATGCCCAGGCTGAGGCCAGTGGCGTCCCGGGCCACCTGTGTCCATCTGGAGCCTAAGGAGAGTTAGACAGATGGCAGCGGGGGCACATCCCCTCCTCCTGTCGGGCAGCTTAGTGGAGCACTGGCTTAGCAGGTCAAGGAGGGCCAAGCTGACACTGTCTGGGAGCTTGGGGCCCTGCTTGCTGTCCCTGCCCTCACCCTGCAGCCATGGAGGGGCAGCAGGCAGCAGGCTCCCCCTCCCCTGGCGAGCCGGCCACGGAGCCACCATCCGCTGTGGGGTAGCAACAGCGCGGGCATACCCGCTATTCCTCTGCTTACATGTCCCCCCAGTAAAGCCTATTTTATAGCTCACCGTGTGGACCTGGTGTGTGTCATGTCTCCTTTGTGACAACAGTTGGCTACCATGAAGCCACATGCTCAGGAAGTGATGGAGTTTGGTGGGGCAATGCCTGGGAGAGATGTCCATGCCTGGCAGTGGGGGTCACCTAGCCCAGATGTTCCCTGGACCGCAAGCAGGTGGGGGGACCTGGAGTGGGGATCTCCAGAGGGGCAGCAGCGGGGTCTGTCCCAGCCCGCAGGCTCTGTTGCCGGAAGAGGTTTGATCCTCTGCTGCTGCGCCTCAACCTGGCTGGGTCTCCCCGGGACTCGTCTGCATAAGCTGGGGCAAGCCTGAAATGGAAGTGGCACCCCCAGAGGGCAGTTTGCTCCCCAAGACCCACTATCTCTCCAGACAGGTAACTGTCCCCTTTTGTTAGTCTGGCCCATTACTTGACCCCGACTGCCGGCTCCATGGGGTGGCACTGGCCCGGTGGTACCTCCCGGGCAATGCTACGGCTGCCTGCTGATGGCCCTAGCAGGGGACACCTGACACCGGGGCTGCGCTCCTGGCTGTGACGCATCCTGCCCCAAGGCTGAGTGAACTCGCGGCCAAGACGCAGCCCCATGGGAACAGACCCAACGCCCCAAGCCTGCTCCGTCTGCACGGCGCGAGTGTGCACACCCGGGGAAGGCCACACTTTAGGAAGCACCTGGACCCAAAAGGACGGTTTGGATTGCTGCCACCAGCTGGAGCTCTGGTCAGGCCTAGCTATGGGAGGGGAAGCTCCACACGGGCCTGAGGTACCCAGAAATGCCCCAAGTCACAGCAGCCATCGCTACCTGCCAGCTCTGCACCTCTGAGGTGGAGACCTCTGCCACGCCTGTCACCTTGGCTGGGCTCTGGACACCCAGAGTCGGCGCGAGGAGAGTTAGGAAGGACACAGTTTTCACTTCCCTCTTTGGACATCCCAGTCCACTGACGAGGGCTGGTCCTCCCTCCCTTCCTCCACGCCCACTTTGACCTCAGAGGACGGGCGGGCAGCCCACACTGCCCAGACCGTGACTCCCACATGGATGTGAATTTGGATGCTGCTGTTGTCTTGGGTGGCTTTCCGGCCACCCACCTCTGCCCCAGGTCCTGCTCAGCCACAGCAGGGGGCTGATGTTGGCCATTGAGTTCCAGAGCCTTCCCCCCCCAAGTCCACTTTCCCCATGGTTCCAGAGTCCCCAGGATGTCCTCTGCCCCATCCTTGTCACAGAGCAAAGCACACAGCGAGTCCCTCTCATGAAAGCTAGCCAGGGAGCGTGTGGCCTCGGGGGGGGGGGGGCAGCTGCTACTTCCCTGTCCTCCCTCTGCTGACAGCTTTTCCAATAAACCCTATTTTATCGTATCGGCACCACATGGTGTGTCTCTGCGCCCCTTAAGCGTGACAGTCCAGAACATCATCTCATGAAATTTAACATTAAGAATTCCTGAGTTTTCAAAAGATGACAGACTAATGGCCAAGAAACATATGAAAAAATGCTCAACATCCCTCATCATCTGGGAAATGCAATTCAAAACCACAAGGAGATATTGCCTAACTCCAGTGAGAATGGCCTTTATCAAAAAGTCCCAAAACAATAAATGTTGGTGTGGATGTGGAGAGATAGGAACACTCATACACTGCTGCTGGGACTGCAAACTAGTGCAACCTCTGTGGAAAGCAATATGGAGATACCTCAAAGAGCTACAAGTAGAACTACCATTTGATCCAGCAATCCCATTACTGGGCATCTACCCAAAGGAACAAAAGACATTCTATAAAAAAGACGTCTGTACTATAATGTTTATAGCAGCACAATTCACAATTGCAAAGATGTGGAAACAACCCAAGTGCCCATGAATACATGAATGGATTAATAAAATTTGGCATATGTATACCATGAAGTTCTACTCTGCCACAGAAAGACAATGGTGATATAGCACCTTTTGTACTATCCTGGATAGAGCTGGAGCCCATTCTACTAAGTGAAGTATCACAACAATGGAAAAACAAGCACCACATGTGCTCACCATCAAATTGGTACTAACTGATCAACACTTACATGCACATATGAAAGTAACATTCATCGGGTGTCGGGGAGGAGGGGATGGGCATGTTCGCCTGATGGGTGCGGTGCGCACTGTCTGGGGGATGGACACGCTTGAAGCTCTGACTCAGGTGGGGCAAAGGCAACATATGTAACCTAAACGTTTATACCCCCTTAATATGCTGAAATAAAAAAATAAATAAGCAAGAATTCCTGAGCAGCAAGGGTGTCAACAAGGAACTCAAATTCTGAAAACGGTGGGCAGTGGCCTGCTCTAGAAGCCCTGGCCTCCCTGTGTCCCTGCCCCTGTGGTTACAAGGTGGGCTCAACCCCACGGGCCCCAGCCCAGCCTCCTGTTCCATCTCCTCTGTCGAGGCACCTGCAGCAGGTGGCACAAGCTCACTGTCACTGAGGCCAGCAGATGCCTCTCAGAGTCGCCCACGGGCACTGCCCACCCCTCCTGGACCCCTCCCAAAGGTGGTTCCCCAGCTTCTCTGTCCCGCCCACCCTCAGAGTGGCGGTTGATGATGCGGGGGGGCTAGACCTCAGCGCTTTGCCTTCATCCACTTTTGCGGTTCACGGTTTGTTGACCTGTGGCCCCAGCCTGGCCTCCCTTCTGCAAACGAGACCTGGGTGGGCAGCTGCCTCCTGGGCCCTGCCGCGGGACCTCCCGCGGGCACCAGCAGTGCAGGTCTCTTGTCTGATGGCACTACCACCCGAGTAGAAACCTGGAGTTGCCCTCGATGCCGCCCACCCATCTCCATGTCCGATGGGTTGTCACTGCCTGCCACCTGCCTGCTTTGCTCTTCCTGTTCACTGAGACACAATCCACGTGCCTCACAATTCGCCCATTCAGTGTGCAATTCAGTGGCTTTTAGTGGATTCCCAGAGTGGCGCGTCCATTCCCGCTATCTAGTTCCAGATCATTTCATCGCCCAAAAAGCAGCCCCTCCCCAGGCAGGGTGCAGGAGGGGCCTCATCCTGAGAGACAGGGCTGGGGAAGAGACAGCCGGGCCCCGGCCCTCCCTGGCCCTGCA